CCACTCCTCATCAGTGATCCTGAACACTACCACCAACGAAACTTCAGACCAAACCAAGCCTTTATAGTAGTGAGGTATTGAAAATACACAGTTTCGATTACTGTTTTATGTTTTTTCCAAAAACTTGGATCTTGCTTTCATATACAGAGTATGTATTTATTTACAGCATTGTGGAACTTTGGCAGAGTAGTGGCAGTGGATTGTCAGTTTTAAGAACCTTTCGCCTTCTTAGAATCTTAAAACTGGTTCGTTTTATGCCAGCACTTCAACGACAACTTGTTATCATGTTGCAGACCTTAGATAATGTTGCAGTTTTCTTTGCTCTTCTGATTTTGTTTATATTCATTTTTAGGTAAGCCTTGTTTACCTTATCATTTATATATGTTACTATACATCATCTTTCTTACATATTTTAAAAATTCACAAACCTTAACACCCTGTTTTTATTTATTCACATCAATTCAGAATATTAGAAATGAATTATCTTACTTCTGTCTTTGTAGGTTTATAGATATATAAAATTTAATCATTTTTTAGTGCAGTTGTTAAATATTACTTACATTTGTCTAATGAAAAATTTTTTTTTACTTACTCTTATTAAATTGGTAAGGTTTCAAAGTCGGTACTAAGATAACAACTGTACTATTTGACTGGGGATTTTTTGTTTAGCTCTTGTACTTTAGTAGTTCAAGTCCTGTATGTTTATGCAGCTTGATTACTATGTAAATCTGTGGCAGTTTTACAGTATTGTAATTTTTAGTTAAAAACTCCAGCAGTATCGTGTTTATTTATGGGCTAGGTTAGGCCTAGTGGTTAGTATGGAAGACTAAATTTGAGAATAGGTGTCAAACACATATAACAGAAGGAGGCATGTATCCTGCCACTGTCTTCAGTTATGTACACATACTGTTAGTATCCTGCCACTATTTTCAGTTATGTACGTGTACTGTTAGTATCCTGCCACTGTCTTCAGTTATGTACACATACTGTTGGTATCCTGCCACTATTTTCAGTTATGTACATGTACTGTTAGTATCCTGCCATTATCTTCAGTTATGTACATGTACTGTTAGTATCCTGCCATTGTCTTCAATTATGTACATGTACTGTTAGTATCCTGCCACTATCTTCAGTTATGTACATGTACTGTTAGTATCCTGCCACTATCTTCAGTTATGTACATGTACTGTTATTAACAAGTATGTTAAATTGACTTAGTTCTTTTTTAGCCCCCAACAAAGTTAGGCAGTCATGAACCAGAGGGTTCATGGTTTGTGTCCTAAGGTATCAGAATCACACTCCACACTATGAGGTCATGGTTTCATTATAAGATTGACCTCTGTTTGAATAGAGTAGCCCAAGAGTTAGCAGTAAAGACTGTCTGTCTTCCCTCCATCCTATCAGTTTAAAATTAGGAATAGCTAGTGCAAATAGCCCATGTGTAGCTCTGTATAAACACCGTAAACGAACACACATTTATTTATATGTATTAAGGCATTCAAATTTCTGAATTAACATTTTTCTTGAAGCTAGTAATTTATTTTGTAGATTTAATGATTAGATGGAAATGCAACAGTTTATTAAAATTAAATATTCTTGTAGCATTTACATGTACAAAGGAGCAGAAAATTACTTTATCGTGACTTTTATATGTAACTTAACAATGAAGGATTATCTAGCAAAACCTTTTGCTTTAAGAGCTCTGCAGTTAGACTACTTGGATTAATACTGAGAGCAAAATCTTTTTTTTTTCTATAATAAGAAGCATGCTTGCATCTACATATGTATTGGCATCTTGGCTTAAAAACACTTAGATACTTATTAGGACAATTTCTAAGAACTTGGCTGACCATGCTGTACAAATGCCTTCTGTTTGTTACTGAAAGGAAATTAATTTATTCTATGAATAACATAGTAATTACACATAGTTTTTAACAATTGGCTATTACCCATACTCTAGCTTCTTATATACTTAGCCACCACATTTCTTTTAGCATTCTAGGTATGAATCTTTTTGGATGTAAATTCTGTGAAAAAGATGAAGATGGTGTGATGCAATGCGACCGGAAGAACTTTGATTCCCTACTCTGGGCTCTAGTAACGGTCTTTCAGGTATACATTTTCAGGTTCTTTAAGCATGTGGAGTAATAGTTTCTGTAAAGGTAAGTTTAGAATTGAATGGCCTGAAAAGCAGTATCTATAAACATGATTTACTTTTTTTTTTTTACTACAATACTTAAGCATGTCTGTGTCAGTTCAAATTCTTTCTTTGATCTTGTGTTTTAATATCGTACCTCATTCATATTAGATTTCACTGTTTATGTATAATTTTTGTTGGAAAACATCTAAGAAAAAAAAACACTAAATATCTTCTGTAGGAAATAACTAAAGCATAATTACTGCAATGAGTTAGTGTGAATATTTGTAAAAAAACAACAAAAGAAATAACCAAATGAAGTCACCAAACGACACTTTACTTTTACTATAACAATGCTTTTGTGAGTTCAGATGAATTTCAGCATTTGTTTATTGCAATATTTTTTATATATTTCACACAAATGGATGTGGTTTGGAGACATCGCGTATCTTACAAAATTTCTCAGTTTTTCAAAAGTTTTAAATTTAGAACATACTATGTGCCTCCAAGATCACATACTAATTCAATTCTAGGTGTTAATTCTTAAAGCAGAATTGAATCAAGTAGGCTGTTTTATGAATAGTCATGTTGTATCCCACATTATCTTATATATGTGTGGAACTATTTTATGTTTGTTACATGGAACACAGATGCCTCTGTATACTTGTAATCCAACAAGCATTAAACAAATGTAAATTGTGAAAGCAATTTTATCATTTTATTCAACCATATTCCTGTCTGACTTGGAAGAGTTAATGAAGCCTTGTCCTTGTTTTGGCTTAATTACCTCAATACCTTCTCTTCAGTCTATTGATTATGTATACTTATTCCGTGAACAAAATTGTCACCATTTTTCTATTTGTTTCAATTTTTCTTTTCTTCATCTTTAGTCTGTCATAGTGCAATAATGTTTTTCAATTAAGCACTCTGCCAGCATGTAATACATACTTCTATTCACTAAAGTGTTTGCTTTAGTTCATCATTACACCTAGAGCCACATTTATGCATAGGCAGCGGCCTAGGGCGGCAAATTTAAAAAAACATCAACAGCAACAAAATTTTGATGAATTATGTATTTATCTAATTTTATAATGCAGGAGTGCCACACCAGATCAAGTTAGAAATCAAGAGTGCTGAGTGATCACGTGATTATTGAAGTAATTAATATAAATATTTCATTTCTGGAGCAATCACGTGAAGGTTTGGGCAGCAAAAAATAAATCTGCCTAGTGCGGCAACATACCTTAATGCGTCCCAGATCACAATGAGATGTGTCTGTTTTATCTTACTTGTAAGAAGTCTCTAAATCTGTCCATAAATATCTTTGTTGTGAAAATCAGGTAACCGTATGGTTGATTTAACTGTGGAACACTATATGCAAACAAGAAAATAATAATAATTTTGAGTTATAGATTGATTTGCTTTTAGGATTATTAATGCAAGCATGAACTATAAAATATTAATATTTTTGTCAAAATAAAGTACTCATCCTTAAATTGTATTACTTTTACTATGTATATATATATCATTCAAACCATTATCATTTGTTTGGAGTTACATATGTCATCTTTCCAAATTTATTTGTTTAAAATTGTAAAAAACACATTTTATGGAACTCCATTACAAATATTTAGGTTAAGAATATTTTATTTTAACTTTCAGAGGATTGAAGGTAATTTTAAGATATATGTTTTGGAACATGCGAAAATAGTTATATACATTATTACAGTATTGTATGTCATCATTTGTGGTTTTAAAAACACCAGTTGTTATGAACTTCATCATTGTGTTTTACTTTATTTAAGGGCTCTGAATAATTTCTTTATCTTTTTTTCTATTTTTCCAAGCAAGCAGCAGTAGCTGTGCTAATTCAATATATATTAGCCCGTTTATTGTCAAACCTTTATTTTTCTAAGCCTAATTTGGTATTTTATGATATTGATTATAAGAATAAATTTTTTCTTACTGATGCTGTTTTACACTTTTGAATATGCTAGAAATGTTTGGACAAAAAATATATATATGTACGTTGTTTGTTTTTTTTTTAGATAAATGTATATTTCTCACGTTAGGAAATCATGTTTGTTATCATAAATCTAAACAGCAAAATTCTGAAGTTTCCTTAATTGTTATTATGGTTGTGTGCTATACATCTTTTAGTCCTTTTAAATGTGTTTTATCTTAAAAACAGAGAAAAAAATTAAAAGATATTTTAATTGACTTTCATTAGTTTCAGTTAAATACTGCAAATGATTTTATTATATGTAGAAGCTGTTAAAGCGAAAGTACAAAACAAAAAATCATTGTGTACATGCATAGTTTAATACATGATCAGATGATATAATAGTTTTAAATTTTCTATTTTTCATTAACTAGTAAATGTTACTTAAGTACTTAAGAAAATCATAAACTTTTTCAGATTCTTACTCAGGAAGATTGGAATGTTGTACTTTTCAATGGTATGGAAAAGACATCACATTGGGCTGCTTTGTATTTTGTGGCTTTGATGACTTTTGGAAACTACGTTCTCTTCAACCTCCTTGTGGCAATTTTAGTGGAAGGATTTTCTACTGTAGTAAGATTTACCAATAAGTTAATTTGTACCGACTATGCATGCTTTTTTGTGTTTTTATTATGTGTTAACAGTTTACGTACAGGTGCAAGTTAATTTAATGAAAGGCCACAAAACAGTTGTGTTGCAAGACTGTTAAGTGGCATGCAGCTATAATGCTAGTCTGTTAACCAGCATGCACCTGTGATATTATAGTCTGTAAAGTGGCATGCAGCTATAATGCTAGTCTGTTAACCAGCATGCACCTGTGATGTTATAGTCTGTAAAGTGGCATGCAGCTATAATGCTAGTCTGTTAACCAGCTGCACCTGTGATGTTATAGTCTGTAAAGTGGCATGCAGCTATAATGCTAGTCTGTTAACCAGCTGCACCTGTGATGTTATAGTCTTTAAAGTAGCATGGTTGTATGTTAACCAGGATGGAACTGTGATGTTATAGTCTGTAAAGTGGCATGCAGCCATAATGCTAGTCTGCACCTGTGATGTTATAGTCTTTAAAGTAGCATGGTAGTATATTAACCAGGATGGAACTGTGATGTTATAGTCTGTAAAGTGGCATGCAGCTATAATGCTAGTCTGTTAACCAGCATGCACCTGTGATATTATAGTCTGTAAAAGACTATAATATCACAGGTGCATGCTGGTTAACAGACTAGCATTATAGCTGCATGCCACGTAAAGTGGCATGCAGCTATAATGCTAGTCTGTTAACCAGCATGCACCTGTGATGTTATAGTCTTTAAAGTAGCATGGTTGTATGTTAACCAGGATGGAACTGTGATGTTATAGTCTGTAAAGTGGCATGCAGCCATAATGCTAGTCTGTTAACCAGCTGCACCTGTGATGTTATAGTCTTTAAAGTAGCATGGTAGTATGTTAACCAGGATGCAACTGTGATGTTATAGTCTGTTAAGTGACTTGTAGCTGTGATGATAGTGTTACAAGATAAACAAGAACACGTTACAGTATGGTTTTATCTACCTGATTGAAATGAATTCTAATCACAGAAGAAAAAAGACTCCAAAGAATAGATCCATTACTCATGAATGTTATTCAGTACTTCTTTCAAATTGACATTTTAGTGTGATCTTTTATTGTAGTTCTTGGCGTTTTTGTATGATTAGAAAACTCGTATGCTTCAGCATTTTTTATAAGTCTTGAAGAGATTATCTAACCATACCCTGTTGTTGGTCATATTAACATCACATTACTTATGTGTTTGAAATTTAAGAATTATTTTGATATGCATGAATTTTATAGACGACTAATATTAATTTGAACAATTCTACATAGGAGTATATGATAAAAGAATGTGAATAGGAACAAATTTTTTTTTTGTAAAACAGCTATAAAAGAATAATTTGATTTCTCTCTCTTTAGGATGACAAAAAAAAAAGTAATGAAAAATTATCAAATTGCAATGAAACTGAATATAAAGAAGATGACGTGTCAGATGATGAAAATTTAAAGTCATCCAGTAAAATAGAAAATGTTATATATAAACAAGATGACGTGTCCGATGATGAGAGCTCAAAGTCACCCAGCAAAATAGAAAATTTTATCCATTATGCAGACCCAAAAGATAACATTGAAAAGGGTAAATCTCTCTTTAATTTCATGATATACTTTTATTTTGGAAAGAGGATATATATGTAATTTTTTTTGTTGTCTTCCTGGATTTATGTAAATCAGATTACACTAGTTATAATGATAAATTTTCAATAATAGTTTAATGAATTGTATATGATGCATTGTTAACTTATATACTGACCTTATCTTTTTATGTCTATTGCTCGGTTTCTTGCTGATATTTTTTTAGTTCGCTTAGCTTCATTAGATTTGTGTGGTTTTCTCATCTGTTCTATTCTAATTTACCTAATGAGGTCAAGCTTTGGCACATAAATGCACAGTACAGATGTAGAGATATCTGCACTTTTCTGAAATCTATTCTTTGATTACAGATTCTGTAATTTTTCATAGATTTATTTCCTTCTAGGGTTTGTGAATAACAATAAATAGACACTTTATATATCTCTTAAAGCTGCTATTCCACAGTGTACATTTATATCTGTACTTGTTTGAAAATAACTTCCACCGATTATGTAGACCAAGCTGTTGTTTCAAGGTATAAATGAGTGTACCGACATAATGTGTAGGGAAAACAAGGGAGCTGTTCGTTCACATAGGCTATCCCATCCTCTAAACTAAACTAAAACATGGAACTTACTATACCTCTTAGTGTTCTTTCTTTTCTAAAAATAATTTGTGATATTAATATAAAGCAGTGTTTCATATGGATAAGTGAACATTTTTCTAATAGATTTAATTTTTGTTACATTTGTTTGCATCTAGAGACAATGATGTTGTCTAAACCACTTGTCATAAAAACTGATTCCAAGCCTGGTGAATTACTCTGTTTTCCACCAATTATCACTCACACAGCAGCGACACCACAAGGCTCACCAAATGCTACTCTGGAACCATTGGTACGAGATTTAAATAATAAGTATACTCCATTCATGGCATTGAACATTAGCAACACATCTATTGACTCAATAGATAAATCACCAGTGAGTATTTTTATATCCATACCTAAATATTTGTTTTGTACTTTTTTTTATTGAATTGTATTATTTTAACTGTATAATGTTCAGTTCCTAATTTCTGTTTTATCTCTTCTTATCTACATCCAAAAACCTGTTCTGTTTTTTTATGTGTGTTTTTGTTATCTAAAGGTAAAAACACTGTAATTAATATTAAGACTGCTTTGGTTGTACTGCAAGTTGATATTTGACAGAATCAACTACATTTATCCACTCCAACCCAATCCCAAATATTAGCCTGAATAACATTTAAATTACTGTTCAAAACTCAAAATATCCCTCACTGAAAAACAGGGGTCCTGTTCCATATTGTTTAGAAATTAATTATTGATAATGTATTACATGGCTAAGAAGAAATGAAAGAATGTTTTATAATAAAATTTTAGTTTGGTTTATCTAATCAAAGAAAAGAATTGTTATCGTGTATTTGTAACATTCATTACTAATCAATTAACCTAAAAATTAATTACTATTAATGATTCTTTTCTTATTTCAGACCCCAAGTTTGGTGGGAACTCCTCAAAACTCACCCAGCCTGTCTCGCACTTACAGTAAAAACAGTAAGACTTTAATTGTGCCAACTAGCGAAATAAGTGGACATTTTTCAGATTCAAACCAAAGAGGCTGTCATTCGCCATCTTCTTCATCACGTCGTAATAGTCTAACACCTTCTCTGATCACTAAAAATGTGAGGGTTTTATTAGTTAATACATTTTTAGATCCATTGAACTCAGGCTTTGAATACATTAAAATAAAAGAAACTTGGATGTGTTGAGTAATTATAGCGAGTATGTGGAATATTGTATATTACAGGTTAAAATATCTTATCTTTTCAGTAGTTGGAATTTCACACTTGTAAACTGAACACTTATATACATAACATTTTTTAGAAGAATATAAAAGCTATAGTTCGTGGCATAACTGAAACTGCTTAAGTAAGGTTGTGACAATCAGATATCAGTTGTTGTCATGGTTAGTAGTTTAGTTAATCTTCTAAGACTAATTATCTATTAGCTACTTATTTTTTTGGTAACTACTAAATATTTTAACTACATTGCATTGCTAATCCACTGTTTTTCTCAGGGAGGACCTGAGAAGGACTGTTTCTGTGCTGGTGGTTCATGGGACTTGTTGCTGACTGTCCTTGGTAGAGAGAATGGTGTATTATTCACTTGTCTGTGGTCTCTCCATTAAGATTTGAATTCGCTAATATGAATGAATACTTAAAAGCGAGGTATCCAGGATTTGCCGACTTTTGTTCTCGGTTGACTGTGTTATCTGTTGGTTAGGTGGATGCAGAAGGTTTTCTTTATCTTTATTTGTGTGTGGCTGTTCCATTCTTTTAATATTATTCAAGTTTATCGAATGGTCTTTTTCTCGGTCACAGTTAGCTATTGGAGACAGATCAGTATTACCCATGTCTATTCATCCTTCTAAATTGTAACCTTTGTTAGTTTCAGTAAATTGGAATACACACTGATGAGGGATATTGTAGATGATTTTTATACTCTACTGCTGCATGAAGATGATTTGGTGAGCACTGCAGTTGTACTGTGTTGTGACCTCTAAAGACTGTTCTGACTTTATGTTCTTTACTTAACCTCTAAGTGTTTTCAGAGATAACTTGGACATAGAAGTGTATAGCTGTCTGTTTATAGTTTTCTTCCTGCTTAATCTTGAGGTTTACATTCTTCATCAAAGTATATGAGTTTTATAGTGATGAATTTTTGTTCCTTCTTCTATGTGAAAAATCTTTTTTATTTTGGAAAAATAGGTTGTCTGAGGTGCCCATTTTACACTATTGAGGTAATTTGGTCTATAGTTGAGGTATTTAACAGTATCTGCAAGTTTCCTGTACACTTCTGTGATATATGAAGTGTGGGTTTTAGATTGTTTGTTGAATATCATGCAAAACTACTCAAGGCCTATTTGTGCTAGCTGTCCCTAATTTTGAAGTAACAGAGTAAAAGGATATCGGCTGGTCAACTCCACCCACTGCCATCTCTTGGACTAATATTTACAAACGAAAAGTATGATTGACTGTCACACTATAATTCATATTCAGTGATGGGATTTAAACTCTCAACCAACTTCTAGGCCTAGCCAGCTCTCGAAGGTTTTTTATAACCATCATGTTATCTTTTATTGCTATTTTGAATTGTATTTCTATATCATGCATCTTTAGGTGGTTCAAATATTCTGAAATCTTGTCTGTAGTGTGTGGCCATATTAGGAATGTGTTGTCCACATAACTGAGCCAAATCTTGAGTTTCAGAGTGGTTATTTTAAGGGTGTTATCTTTGAAATGACCAGTGTAGAGGTTAAAGAGTACTGGTGTTATGCATATAGTGGTGTGCCTTTTGTTAGGCCTTCTTGTTGTTGGTAATATTTATCTTCATGTGGAATGTAGGTCATGTTAATAAAAGGTTGCGAGTTCTATTGTGGTAGAAATTCTAAGTTGTATACATTCCTTGAGAATTCTGCTATTTTCAAACTGTTGACAGGGTTGCTATGTTAGTGAACAGGTTGGATGCATTGAAGCTGGTCATTGTATCTTGCAAGTTCTTAATGTGAGGTTGTTTCACTTTTAAATGGAAATATTATGTCAATATATCTAGCTAAGTAGTGGCTTGGTGAATTTATCAGTTAACTGTACAATGGAGACAGTAGCCTTACTTGCAAGTTTTAGGTAGACTGTAGATATGTGAGGTGGTGCTGTAATGTATTGTAGTTTTTTTTTACTGTTTTTTTTTTCAAATGCTATGCATTTTAAACCAACAAAGAAATAGTCCTATTCATGACTTCCCTGAAGATGGCAGCAGCTGAAACATAGGGTACAAACTCGTTAAGTAATTGTTATCTGATAATTAAAAAAAAGTAACTAATCAATAATTAGACAAAAGTGATTGTGTAAGTTACTAACCATGGCAATGATGTACGTTAAAGTTGTGAGGTTTGATGCCAATGTCTTTTGACATACACTCAATTTCTATATATGTTTGTGTATATATATGTCTTCATTAATATTTAAAGTAAAAAGAGTTTTCTAGATGATGTTTCTGTTTTAACAGATTTGAATAATTGTTACAATAGCTTTCATATGATGGCATCGTACTGCCATGACTTCATACTGTCATATAGATAGGATAAAGCCTATTAGTAGATGTAGTTACTACGTGCGACTAACTGTGGTATTCTTAAGTAAAGAGTTAGATTGAGGCAAGTCAGAAATGACAATAAGATGCTAATATTTAGTAAGAACTGATGAGTGTAATGCAGTACGAGGAAGGAAAAAAGAAAGTTTCACACACCAACATAGTCAAACTTCAAATGACTGACTTTTGTATTAATTAATAGTAGGTGAACTTTATTTTACTGGATAACTATGAATTGTGTAACAACCGGGACAAGACTGAGTCAAATACAATGCTTCAAACATCACACATTCAACCAGAAAATAAAGAAATGACACCTTTCTAACTTTAACCAATCATACACAAAATTACCAATCTATATTCTCATTGGAAAGTTGGGCTAGCAAATGTGAAGGTCAGCTTCCACTAAGTTCAGTCAACAATGTCATAAGAATGCAGAAATAATCCAAGGTTTGTATACCTTAGAGAAATGTTACATGTACACAGTAGTCAAGAGTGAACTGTTATAGTCAGCCAAAACCTGGAAATATGGCAACAATATTGATTAGCATAGGAATGAAAGCAGGTGTGGTAGTCGTGCCTACCACACACATCTATATATCTGCACTGTGTCGGTAGTACTGTTTGCTTGTATGTCTGTACCCTTTTCTTGTGTTTGGATAAAAAGAAACAAAAGTTGTTATCTTAAATACTTACAGTAAGTTTGCAGTTATTGGATATTATTAAAAATAGTAGTTGATTAATTATTCAACTTAGATGACACAATAGGCTGAGAAAAGATGTGAACTCCTCTTTAACAAAATGTTTTAAGTTGGAAAAACAATCCAAGTAATGAGTATTTGTGAACAGTTTTGTTTTGTAGAAATGAAAAATTTCTCTTTCTCAAGGGGTTTATATCTTGTTTGCTTCAGCTTTCTCGAAAAGAAAGTCAGAACAGTAATGCTGGATCCCTGAAGTTACGCAGACGAGGAAGCATGTGCAGTTGGAGAGGCTGGCAGAAACGAAAACGAGAGAGAGAGAACTCGGATAGTGCTTCAGTGACAGACGGAGAAGAGGTGTTACTGAACAATAAGACAATAATTCATCATAACAAGTAAGAATATTGTTCATGTAGTTTTAATGGTAGTAACTAAAGGAAACATTTATATAAAACTCAAATGATCTGTAATGTATCACTTTATCTAGAATTTGCACATGTAAGTGCTTGAACAATAAATATTACAGAATTTAGGGGGTCAGTCCCTTATAAATAATATTTCATCCTCGTAATTAAAATTTTTTCGTTTATTAGTATAATTCGTAACCCCAAATTTTGAAAACAGAAGTTGAATGAAACTCAGTCATTCCAATACGAGCTATATGAGATTTCTTTTTAGTTTTTATGCAATTACATACTCAGTAATCTATATTTATATAAAGTAGAGTTGTCTTATTGTCACAAGTTCTTGTGGGGAACTGGCTAAATCAATTGCTATGAAATTTGGTAAAGAAACTTGGGTGGTCCTTCCAAAGATTGAATTTAAGTGTTTGGGAATGGATAAATAGTTCAAATTTGGCAGCCATTTCAATTTTGATTGTGTAGACAATGCCTAATGAAAGTAATACTTAGCTACACGTAACATGGTTCCTCTTTGCTGATTGTCCGTATTCAGTAAACCTGCATGATTAACAGTAGCATGTTTAATATCAGTGCAATGGGAGCAATGCACCAATGGGCCTCTCATAATGCAGGCCCCCAAAGTAATGCAAAAAACTTTTAAATTTCTATACCTATAGTTGATCAGTACGAATGTGCACCTACTGTCCCCTACCTGTGGACGTTACTGATCGCATCTGCCAATAATGTAAATTTTAGCCACCATCTTGTTTCACACAGTATTTTCTGTAATTATTATATATCTTTTACTTACAGTCTAGATCAGATTATGTAAAACCAAGTCATATTTGTTGCCCATAAGTATTGAAAAATGCACAAGAAAATGAATTTTTATTGTAATAAAAAAAGGATATGATTTTTGTATTTTTTAAATTCATTGATATTGTGTTCTGCATATTAACTTATACAAAGAAGTAACGAATTAAGAAATAAAGTCTATTACTTTAGTATTTATTTGCCTTTTTGATTTTTAAACCCTTTCAGTCCAACAGCTGATCATACCCTCTGTAATGGAGGATTCCCAGCTCTCAGTAATACTCCAAATAACAAGCGACCATTAGCATCCAAACAAAATAGTATCAACAGCCATAAATCTCTGACTCCACAAAACTCAATTAACAGTCATTCTTTTCAATCCTCAAGTGGAATTGATCTGGAAACCTTCAAAAACCATGTTCCATGCAGCCGTCAGACTTCTGTTAATGCCAGTGCAGTCACTCACAATAGTCTGACTCCTCAACAATCGCTGAATACCTACAGTTACATTTCCAGTAGACATAACTCACTCACGGGCTCCTTATTGAAGGATGATTTCAAACTTAACAACCTGGCTGAGGTAGCATCTGTAAGAATTGAAAATGGAAATTATCCTATTGACAAGCACCTCAATGGAAAGGTATAGTACAGTAATTAATCTTTGTATAATATTAAAGCTGAGAGTTCATTTATATTTTATCCCATGCCCAAGTGCATATTTAATTTTACAAGAATTTTGTATAGCCTCACCATTTAAATATTATTGTATTTAAATTTAATTCTTCTGTTTTTTCCTCCCTCAAGTGAGTAGTTAGCTGCAAAATATTCATATACTTAAATTTAGTGTTGTTTTTTTTAAAGAAATATTGCACAATACCCCTCTAGCAACTTAGTTATCATATATCTTTTGTTACACCAGTGAAAACAGAATATGATCCATCTAGTTATCCTGAACACTCGCAGTCTTACTGTTAATTAAGTACATCTATATGTATCGTAGATCTTTTTCATGTAATTCTTTTAACTTATAAAATGAAATTTCCTATTAAGTCAAAGCTGAACACAAACAAAAATAACTCTTAACACAATTTAGGCTCTATTTAAATTGGAGTCTAAACTGTAGTTGACAATTCCAATTCATGTCTAATTTACATTTAAAAAGCAGTCATCTGCTTTCATTTAAAAATTGCTGGAAAATGATAAGAAAGCTTGTACAGTGTAGTTTTTAACATTTAACCATGAACAGATATTAAACCGTTTAGGAGATAATATGAAGTTTAAAAGAGTAACGTGCAATTGCAGGAGAAAACACAATGTATATGTATACAACTATAGGAGAAAACACAATGTATATGTATACAACTATAGGAGAAAACACAATGTATATGTATACAACTATAGGAGAATACACAATGTATAGGTATACAACTATAGGAGAAAACACAATGTATATGTGTACAACTATAGGATAAAACACAATGTGTAGGTATACAACTATAGGAGAAAAAACAATGTATATGTATATGTATACAACTATAGGAGAAAACACAATGTATATGTATACAACTATAGGAGAAAACACAATGTATATGTATACAACTATAGGAGAAAACACGGTGTATAGGTATACAACTATAGGAGAAAACACAATGTATATGTATACAACTATAGGAGAAAACACAATGTGTATGTATACAACTATAGGATAAAACACAATGTGTATGTATACAACTATAGGATAAAACACAATGTGTATGTATACAACTATAGGAGAAAACACAATGTATATGTATACAACTATAGGAGAAAACACAGTGTATAGGTATACAACTATAGGAGAAAACACAGTGTATAGGTATACAACTATAGGAGAAAACACAGTGTATATGTATACAACTATAGAAGAAAACCCAGTGTGTATTTATACAACTATAGGAGAAAACACTGTATATTTATACAACTATAAGAGAAAACACAACGTGTATTTATACAACTTTTAGGAGAAAACACAACGTGTATGTATACAACTATAGGAGAAAACACAATGTGTATGTATACAACTTTAGGAGAAAATATTGTATATCTTTGCAACTATAAGAGAAAACACAACTTATATATATGCAACCACAGGAGAGAAAAAACAATGGTAACTATGAAACTTAATGTACTAGTGTTGTGATTTCAATTCTGGAAATTGTTTATAAAAAATTTATAAGTCCCACACATTTATATCTACAGCATTGTATTCCACAGAATCTCCTATAACTCACACATTGGTATCTTTACTCCACAGCAGCTCATTCCACAAATATTCCTGTAATCCTCACACATTGTTTTCTGTACTCCACAGCAGGTTATTCCATAAAATATTCTGTAATCCCCTCACATTGGTATCTATAATCCAAAGCAGCCCATTCCACAAATATTCCTGTAATCCTCACACATTGGTATCTTTACTCCACAGCAGCCCATTCCACAAAATCTGTAATCCTCACACATTGGTAACTATACTCCACATCAGCTCATTTAACAAAATATCCAGTAATCCTCACACATTAGTAACTATACTTCACATCAGCTCATTTGACAAAATCTCCTGTAATCCTCACACATTGGTAACTATACTCCACATCAGCTCATTTGACAAAATCTCCTGTAATCCTCACACATTAGTAACTATACTTCACATCAGCTCATTTGACAAAATCTCCAGTAATCCTCACACATTGGTAACTATACTCCACATCAGCTTATTTGACAAAATCTCCTGTAATCCTCACACATTGGTAACTATACTCC